AAAAGATAAACTTATTGAATTTACATATTCAATCACACTTGCTTACATTTTTGTCATGAAACAGTTTGAAACAGTATGAAACAGTTTTGTTATCTAGCTTTCACAAATTGAACCTGGTTGATTTTTTGTCAAAATGCATTCTACACAAATGTTTTGAGTTCAGAAAAAAGATGTATTACATGCAAAAATGTTTTAAAGGTATTAAAATATTTTTGACAATGGCGTAGATCAATTACAAACGTGTTCATCAATGCTATCAATTTTTTTTAATCAACGATGTTATTTTTGTTTTTTATATATAAAATTATACTTAAAGAAATCATCTCGCGTATTAGTGTGTTTCTTTGGTTAATAATACTCTCTTTAATGTAAACTATTTTAAATATAAAAGTCACGGAGGACGGATTGTTCAGATCAGTAGAAACAAAAGGATCGATCAATCAATCAATCAATCAATCAATCAATCAATCAATCATGTTGATTTAAAGCTGAACTTAAGTTATTTTTAATAAGTTTATTTATTACATTCAATGAAATAGTTCTATTACATGACAAGCAACTACAACAACTACAAGTTTAAATGATTCTTTTCGTTTTACATGTTTATTTATGGCGATGGTACTTATAAAACTAATACTTCTAATAGTAAAGTTTGACTGGAAATCGAATCGGTAAAAACAATTGCATTGGCATGAATTTTTAATATCAAAAATTGACAAATGTCTGTAATCAAACAACAGTCAATGCTTGGAAAAATATTTGCTTTGCAACGAATCAAGGTTTGAAATCTACGTGACAAGTTATAGACATTAAAACAACAGACAATAATATCACGAAATGGCCGTCGAAGCGAGTCGGTTTCGATGTTATACTATTCTAATCCAATTTCTATCCTTGTAAAGTCAGTTTGGTATGCCCTTTAACTAGCTTCCCCATTTTACGTTTTAAGTTAAAAAAAATTAAGGTAGAGGCTTCGGGGAAGAGAAAGAAGTATTTCTTGGCACAACAAAGATTCAAAAGACAACACATAAATGGTTTTCGAGCATGGAGAAACAAGTATATGCCACTTTATTTTAAATGATACACATGTTTTGAATTTTTTGTGTGATGCTTACTTTTTCTTTTTAAAATTGTGTACAACATGACTATATCTACATCATCACAAGAATTAAGAAATGGGTTAAATTTTACCTTCGTATTAGTAAAATAGTTATTGGAGTCACTTCAATAATTAGTAGTCTTTTAACCTCATTAGTATTTTCTATTTAGGGAGTGCTAATATGGAAATGAACAACAATAACACAATATCTAATTGATTAGACTTAAACAAAACAAATGAGCTATATTATTCCATTGTTTTCACTATAACACAACATTTTCCTTGAGCTTCAAAGCGCCTATCACTAGATGAAGTTAAGCAACTTGTAGTTGCACCCTGGTGAATTTAGAACGCGTACTTATTGTTCGTCACACTGATTTGGATCGGGAAAACTGGCTTTTTTGCAGAGAAGTTTTCAATAATTCTCCTTCGTCATTTGTGAAAAACGAAATGTCATATAATATCTATTGTAAAACTTTCTATAACACTTGGTTTACGTGATTTTCTGTGGCTCTACTTAAAGCATTACGTTCGGCATTAATGTTAACTAGCAGTGAAATTAGTCACAGCGTAGTGGTCGTTTGGTCGTCTGCACTGTAATTTATTGACTCGTGATAACTTAGCTCATCTGTCATTAATGACAAATATTGTTCAAAACTTTCCCTCACATTAGGAATTTTTGGTCGATTCCACACGAATAACAAAAACGCACTCAAAAGCACCAGTGTGCTGCAGGCTTTAGATTCTATGATACAGAGAAATCAATTGAAAAATACTAGATAATGATTGGCTAAGTGGCTTTGGGAGGGGGAGTGCACTTTTTCCACACAAAATTGCGTTTCAATTGTTGTGACCATTTGTAGTTTGTCAACTGAAGATGCATGTGCAAAACTAATTTTACAATCAATATGATATACTATAAAATTTTGATACATAATATCGCTCTCCCTGCTTTATAATCATTTTAAAACCCATGTTTAAACCACTGAGGATAAGGGTTGTTTTTGGCATTAATGTAGAGCAGGTTATATTAGCAATCAGAGGCGTAACTAGAACGTTAATTGGGGGGGGTGCGTATTCATATATTCCGTTGTGCCCTACTGAATACATGAATATACACACCCCCCAATTAACGTTCTAGTTACGCCTCTGTTAGCAATACTTGTCATGTTGTACACTTGAATATTTATTTATAAGCATGAACTTGCTGATGAAATGCTCAACACACAAATATTGATGAATGTCAAATCTTCCATCAGTTCTTAAGAAGTGAAAGGAGTAAATGACAAGAACCAATAATCACCCACAGCTCAAAATTTCAAATCATCACTTTCACACATTACAAAAAGAGCATGTGAAATTCTTACAAAGAAAGTCTAACTTTAAAAGCAATAAAATTGTTACGAAACGAGTTATTTTAATTGGATTGTGTGTATTTTGCACAGCATTCAAATATACAGACTACCTGTTATCAGTTTTATCTTAAATTTTTGGTCTTTCGACGACAAATGAGACGTTCATATTTCGAAGCAAGTTCTCACTTTTATGTTTTATATAATACAGCGTTACGCATACAAAACATGCCTTGGAACGTCCACAATGCATCTTAACACATTAATAACCAAATTTTGCTAACGGTTTTCAAAAAATTAAAATATTTAAGCTAGCATTGTATTTCCAAGTTATCTGTTTTTGCAAAACAATCCGTCACGCAAATAAAACAGTCCACGCAAAATACATGCGAAGCGGCGAATCAGCTTCTAAGTGGCTTCAGCCAAGACTAGGCATGTGTATTGTGAGTTGGCCTTCCAGTTGTAATAAAGTAAATGGTTTGAACCCGGGAGTATCGTTACATTTTTGTAAATGTAGATCGTCCAGGTTAGTATAGTCCTGAGAAGGACTGTTTTTGTTGTTGTTGACTGACGTTTTGACAACCTTAGCGGTAGTCATCTTCAGAGTCAAAATGGCTCTGTTTCTGTTGTAGTTGCTGAAATTGTAATGCAATCTATAGAGGAACGGGCGCTTACGACTTACAAACATGCACATGTTTGGTAAAACAGGACAATCAAAAACAGTTTATCGCAAACCAAGACACACTGACCGACTACTAGACCAATAATCTTACAACCCTACATCACACAAAGCAACCACAATCAGAACATTAACAAGACGTGCACAAATCATATGTGATTCACCGGACGCTCTACACAAAGAAAATAGCTATCTCAAACGTGTTTTTGAAAAGAACAATTATAACTCAGACTTCATCAAACGCAAAACTTACAAACCCAACGAACCCAACCAAACAAAGAACTCAGTGACAACAGCAACGATACCTTACATCAAAGGTACGTCTGAGACTATCTCGCGTATCCTACGACCATACAACATACGTGTCGCACATAAACCAATCACAACGTTACGACAAGTACTAACTAACATAAAGGACAAAGAACAACCCAACGAACGACAAAGTGCAGTTTACAAAATAAAGTGCTCCGACTGCCACGCCTCCTTTATCGGGGAAACTGGCAGGAACTTAAACAAAAGACTTAAGCGCGGGCCACACTATCGTCGAAATGCAACGAATTTCGTGACGAGTCGCTCGTCAACGAGAAAATATGACGATATGGACGAATTCGTCGCCGTTGAGCATGCACACCGAAATCGTCAACGAGTGACGAGTAATTGTTGCATATCTACTCTGATTGGACAAGAAAAATCACATGACTAATGTTTACTTTCACTGTGCTGTGGCAAAATGGCGGATTGGCAAGAAATGTTAATTGAGCTAGTGAGAGAGAGGCGATGTTTGTGGGACAAATTTCATCCTGACTATAAAGATACACGCAATATAAAGAAAAATAATTGGAAGAATGTTGCTCGGGAACTGAAAGTTGCGACCAATAGAGCTTGACGAAGCTCTTGCAACAACGTGTCATACAAGCCCTTCTCTTCTCGCCTTTTATTTATGGGATGTACCCAGAACCTTCTTTTGTATGTACGTCGTTTTGCAGAAATTAGAAGCAGTAGAATTTTTCTCTTCAATAATAGAAGTTTCTTTTTGCGCTGATATCGTCCATGCTTGTACGGAAAATCGTTACAATGTGGCACATGTACTCGTCACGACGGCTCGTTGACGAGCGACTCGTCACGAAATTCGTTGCATTTCGACGATAGTGTGGCCCGCGCTTTACTGAACACAAACGAGCTACTAAGAAACAAGACAAAACTAATCACATTGCCGAACATCACCGAATCACAAAGCACAACATTTACTGGGACTCGGCAAAATGCATTACTTACAGTACAGACTATAGACAACGGCTTACATTAGAAAGTTTGTATACCGACTTGGAACAAACCCCCCTGAACAGATCACAGCAATTATCTGCACCTTACAAACGACTTTATCACAATACAAACAAACGATGAACTAAAAACGTCACACTTCACACTAATTCACAATAACAATACACAATTGACACCCACACATTTCATGTACACACAATACAATGACGTAAGAACCAGATAACAAATAGGGCTAACCTGACACGTTTACTCCTCATATGACTCTGAAGATGACTACCGCTAAAGTTGTCAAAACGTCAGTCAACAACAACAAAAACAGTCCTTCTCAGGACTATACCAACCTGGACGAACTTGTAGTTGTATTACAGTTCATTGGACAAATGTGTTGTAGTAAAATTATGTATGAAATATAATTTAGTGGAATAAATGACATATTTAATTAAAATAGACGACGAATTTATTCCTCCCACACGCGTTTCGCTGAGAATGCAGTTTTTCTATTGTTTATTTTTCTGCCTTGTGCTGTGGTTAAAATACAAATACGTCATATTAAATTTTCGACAATACGAAATGAAACAAATTCCAAATATAGACATCCTGTTTTCTTGATATTCCAAATAACAGTTTAGGTTTTTTACAATTGAATTAATTTTCTTTCAACATTACTAGGAATTCGTTCGTCAAAGCAGTATTGAACGGAAGTCGAATCCAAAATAAAGCGGTTTGTGACCACTAAACACTTCCGCATGTGGAATGATTCGGAGTGTTCTTCTTAACAGTTTAACTAAAAATAATGGCATAGTGGTTTGAAAGTTTAATAAATTGAATGGCACATGGCTGAATATATAAAGTATGTGAAATGCTGTTGAATTACTGAAGGTTTTTGTTTGTTCTTGTTTTGTTTGTTTAGTCTAATGGGTACATACTTTCGTGGGGTCACGTTCAATAATTCTTTCATGACTTAAAACATTGAGGAATACAGTTAGAACTACCAGCGCATACTCATTGGCATAGACAAGGTGATGGGGGCTTATATAACCCCCAATGAACAGAGGTAATGACCTCACAAAAAGACTAAATCAGGGTAGAAATTAGGAGAAGGGGGCGATAGCTAGTTGGCTACTTATGTTACTACCAAACCCAACTTGTTTAATCTTCAACTTGTTCACCAATTCTTCTGAGGAAAATAATGTCAACATTGGTTGCTTAGCAATTTCGACACTTTGATTTGAGTATTTTCCTGTGTTTTAATGAGCATCGCAGTGTTATTGAAAATATTCTCACTAAATAAAGCATTAAAATTGCTTATGAACCAAGAAAGACTGCAAAGTATTATGTTTATGCCAGTCAACATCTGACAGAATGGAAGGTCTACAGACATTGGAGACCTAATTCATTGTTTTGTGGACATATCACCATAAAGAATGAATCATATAATCATCTATAGAAATGCAGGGACCTAATTCCTATTTGATACAAGTTTTTGTAACTCGAAAGGAAAATATTAATTTTTAGTTTCTCTTAAGCTAGGCAAGCATTAACATGACTATACCATTTGTTATAGATGTCCTCAAGATTCTATTTGAAGTATTGCTTTTTGAGGTACTAAATTTACTTCAGTAATACAGGTTTTTGTACTTATTTCCTTTGTAATCATTAAAAATCATGGTACTCTCATGAGTCTCTTTGCTATGCTAAAGTGTGAAAAACTATCAGAAAGTATTGGATAATCCTGTAATCAAAGTATATATATGCAATAATATAATTTAGCTAACATTTATGTACTAATTGATACCTGTAACGACACTTGGCAACCTAAAAATTTGTGGAGAACTATTCACCCAGCAGTAAAATTTCTAAAGGGTTTTAACACCTTCAGCCCACTAAAACTCTTTTCCAGGGAAAGTAAAGGGCATAGGCATACGAAAATTGATATTTACTTTGGGGGTTGGCCAATATTCATAGCATGAGTATATGAATATGTGAATTGGCAATTTATATTTATTTTGTAATTAAACTAAAATAGGAAATGACAATGCCCTATTTTCACTTTAATATATGTCAGAATCTTCTTTTATTTTTAGATTACAACATTCAAGTGATAGCTGATGGTTACTTGTCAATAGAATCAGAGTCACTCAAAGGTAAATTCAAAATTAAAAAAATATTCTAGCTATACAGACTAAGACAAAATTATGTTTAACAATTAATAAATTATCACTAAAGTTTAGTTAGGTTACAAAAAGGGCTGAAAGAAAGATTTTTATGGCTGACATATGGCAATATCATAATGTCACTTTTCATTATTACTGGAAAAGTTTACCAAAAAGTATTTGGTGTACTTCATGTACATAGAAGTTAAAGTATTCACTGTTGTAACCTTGAAGTTAGGAGTTCACGAAATAAGACTACTCATACAGAGATATCAAATTTACATTATTGATTTTGATACTTTCATTTGAACTTTTTTGACTAGTTACCTTAGCCGTTCAGCCACTTCAGTTTGTTTGTTGTAATAATTTTAAGAACGAAAGATTTCACTAAATATTCTGTATATTCTCTGTATGTGATTTTACTACTCGAAACTTCTGAGCGTGTATTAATATGAAGCAATGTAGTAATTATCTAAATGTTTATGTTTATTATCTAGTCGTACGTTCTAGAAAAATCCAGAGTGATTGCTCAATTGAATTTTCATTCCACATTACAGACTTTGAGTCTACAAACATTATAAAAACTTCAATGGCGGTCAACCTTAAAAATAATTATTAAGGTCTTGATTTTACGTTAGACGAGCAGTGTAGAAAAGCTCTTGTCATCGAAATCGCCATGTTGACGCGCACAATAAATTGCGTAATTCTTGAATCCAGCTGAGTCCAAGGCTATAAGCATTGACTCAGAACTGCTGTGGGCGGTAAAAAAACGATTATATACTGTTAGCAACATTAATCACAAAACAGTTGCTTGGCAGAAATCACGAACATATTCTAAATGTTGTTCGCAATGTCTGCAGTCAAAACTGATAAGTTGAAAAATTAGTAATTCGTGTCTTTTTGGAAACTTCCCAACTATAAATGTATTACAAAATCCCACTTTTCGTTTGTTATTCATTTTACAGATTTCTTATTCGAGGGAAAGATAAAACTCAAAAAATTTCATTTTGTATTACAAAAATTTAATAAAGTGACACCGACAATCACATAAGCTACCAGATAAAAAAAGGGGAAGTCCCTATAACACGAATATTGAAAAGTTTTCTTTGTAAAGGATACTGGTTTCCAGGAAGATTAAATTGAATATTTTCAATCAGGCACGGTATCTAGGATGTAAAAAATTTGGCAATTCAGCAACATTTTTTGGTGGGGGCAGGTGCTGACGTAGGCGGAGTGCAGGGGGCCTCCACTCCCCAGATAATAGAAAAACAACATCCTACAGTGGATTAGTTATTCATAAAAGAAGACGACGGTGTTTTATATTTTTGAAGAACATGATAAGGTGTTTAAGTTTAGACGAAAGGTTGTTATCGCATCAGCTTAACTTTACAAGATGTTTGAAAAATAGTAACCAGCATAGTAGCTGATACAACGTGCATATAGCAGGGAATATATCTTTGTGTATAATTGCAATACATCAATTCATCTTTTCAACTTTCATATGTTATTTTTGATCTTTGGCAAACAAAAAAAAACGAAAGATTTCTATTTTCTATTATCAGATAAATCTAGAGAACATATGGATGCAAGAATCTGACATATTTCAACAAACAATTCAACAACTTCAAAAATTTTGGCTGGGGGGGGGGGAAACATGTTTTGTGTACGTGCCTGTTTTTCATAAGCTTCTCGTTAGTTTGCGTACATTGAACAATGAAAAACTTTTGCAGTAAAGCTCTAAAGCTTGTTGCTGCAATTTTGCGTTACATACGGATGATATACACCGGTATGATAATGAAAATTCGATTTGATTTGAAATCGAAAGACAAAAGTCGTGGTTCATGAAAAGATGTTCTAGTCTTGAGTATATAGAAGAATGCAACAAGAAAGATCATTTTAAAACTCAACCAAAACCTAATCACCATGTTCTGCATCAATTATTCATCATTTAACTTTCTTGTTACAGAATTGTGGCGTTTTCACTATCCATCGATTCCAAAATTGTGCAAAAGATGCCTGGAATTAATATTCGTGATGAAGATCGGGAAAAAATCCACCCAAAATTCATATGTACTTACTGTCATCACCTTCTTGTCAATCCTAAGCAGACCTCGTGTGGACATTTGTTTTGTGAGTCTTGTATTGACATTATACTTGGGTACGGTAATTTTTGTTTGACTTTTAAGTGGAAGTTTGCGATTCGTTAGAATTGTAAATTGAATGCATAATAATCACTTAGTGAGCCCACTTTATATGAGTTCACACGATCCGTTTTTTCGGATCCGATTAGTTTTTTATCATTTTAATTATTAAAAAATTTCATAACTATTTAATTTTTAGAAGACCTGATCCAAAATGTCCTGAGGATCAAGAAAAATTAAGCAGAAATGACGTAAGTAACAATATTCCAATTTTTTTGATAGAAAACATCCTTTGATTGAAAGATCAGCACTAACACAATCTATTATCATCATCTACTTCATCTACAGAACTATAGTTAATAAACCAACCGCTAACATCTTCCATTTGTGTAAAACTTACGTGGTGAAACTTTTATCAATCGTTGATTGAGAAACTTCTTTACAAAGTTCTTCCATTCTCAATATGTTCTTCATCTACCAATGTGCAATTATTACACCAACCTTTGAACTTATATCAAAGTTATATACAGGTTTTCCCTGATGCTTTTACGAAACGTGAAATGAAAAGTATTCGTTTACATTGTCCTTCTGAAAAGTGCAAATGGTTTGGCACCTACGAGGAATTGGAAGTGAGTTGGACTGAGAAATTTATTAAAAAAGTTTGGCATTTTTACTTATTAAGTTTCTTTTTTGTCAGGGTCATTCTCAAGTTTGTGAGCATGCGCTCATCAGCTGTATACACAAGCAATGTAACATTCAGTTACCACGCTATCTCCTTGACGAACATTTGAGGAATGATTGTGAATATCGAAATGTGAAATGTGAATATTGTGGTAAAGATGTCCCGTATGCTTCACTTAAGGTACACAGAATATTTTCAAACAGATAAAAGAACGTAGGGGAGGGCGGTAGGCAGGTGGAAGATATTAGCCTGAAGAACATGGTGATATTCGTATCAAATTATTTACACCATATTTTTACCATATGAAATGAAAAAAAAATTGAGCTTTTTCACAAACATCTTCACACACAAAAAGTTTTCTCCACCGATTCTGTTTTCAACTCTTTTTGCCATCTTCTAGAAAATTCATAATCTAAATATTTATGGTTTTGTATTGCTATTTAATATAAAGGACCACGTGGAAAAAGTGTGTGAAAATGTACCAGTGCTATGTAAATATTGTGAGAAAAAGATACCAAGAAAAGATATTGAACACCATCAAAATACAACTTGTGATGAAGTGCCGACGAAATGTGAATTTCAAGCCATTGGATGCAGCTATGATAAGGTAAGGTCATTTGAACTAATTTACTTTCCCATGTCTGTAATGAAACAAGCTAACTTAGCCAGAAATTTTCAAGTTAAACAAAATTTCCGTCTAAAGTAATTGACATTTGTAGTGATAGTTTAATGATGACTTGTTTTGGTTACGTAAATTCAATTACCACTAAGGTATTGGATTGAAAAGTTGACCATTTACAGTAATGGAAATTTACAATGAAGCTTTTTGTATGAAAACATGTTTCGGTATACAACCAACAACATCAGCTGCAAGCCTGCAACATATAGATATAAGCGCGTCGATGAATGATGGCACTTAACTTTATACTACTATCTTTCTCCGAAGTTTAAAGCAAATAATTGAACTACTCCCAATCTTTCTTCAAATGCCATCAAAAGTTCATTACGACATTAAGTTAAAATGCGAGCAAGTATAGACATGTTTGTATAGACAGAATGTCACCATGCATTTTTATGTTCAGTTTAATGGAAGTATGGAAATCACGATATTTCACATGGTTTGGTAACATGGGCGAAAAATAATATGTACCAATCAACGATTTGTTGCAATTTGTTTACATTTTTAGTTATTAGCCAATCAGGTTCTGTAGAACCCGAAATTTGTAATGTTGATGCTAAGTGATTTCTGAGCCTGGTTTTTATGATTTTCCTTTCAATGTTTTGCACCTAGCTCTAAAATATTGACTAAATTTTCCTTGCACGGATTTTTACTTTATTCCATTTTTGCTGAGATGTGAACTTTCAAATTTGTATGCAATATATAATGTCATGTCATTCGATGACAAGATGTTCGACACATTAAAGCCTCAGACATAGGTTTGTTTTGTCCATTGTAAACAGGCCTTACCGACCTGGGAATGTTCGTCTTTATATTTTGATGATTTCATTGCGTTAAGGAGACATTCATCCATCGCGCCTAAAATCTTAGTTATATTTAGAGAGACGAAGCTATAGGGGTCCAGGTTCCCCAAGAAAAATTCTTTGCCCCTCCCCTTAAAATGTTATGTTTCATGTATATTATATTGTTTAAATGATAGTTACGGCTCCCTTTCCCTTTTGACTGCCTCCCCCTGACAGATTCCTCTGGCTGCGTCACTAGATTGAAACAACAAGTAAATTGTTGCAAACTTGTAGTCTTTGTTTAACGATTGTGTTGGTATTATCTTTGTCTTTCTTTCACAGACTTTAAAACGAAAGGAGATCCGTCAACATATGAATGACAATTTAATTGATCACGTGAGCGCCTTGTTACGATATGTTATGGCATTTGTTACACAGTTAAGTAACTATGTACCACGTCCAGAATTTACCACTGCTATTCAAAACATGGGTGACCAAGTTACTGCTGTTCGTGCAAATCTCTCAGAAAAATTTGTTATGTTAGTGGGTAAACTTACATGTCTGGAAAGGAGAATTGAGAATCTCGAGGCTCGTGGTGATAACGATAGTAATAATGCCAACTCGTCATTAGAGGTTTCTTCGATGCGTGATAAAATTCCAACTCTCGAACGACAAGTGAGAGAAAATTCCTCAACTTTACTACGATTTCGTGAGCGCTTAGATCAAATTGACGAATCACTCGCGAGAAACACGGTGAAGATTACGGACCTTGAAGCGCAACGTGGCTCGCGTGCACTGGGGTCGAATCAAGCCATACACAGCTATAATGGTACGTTACTTTGGAAAATAGATAACTTCAAGAAGAAGAGACAAGACGCCATTAATGGTATTAAAACAGCATTGTACAGTCCACCATTTTACAGTTCTCAATATGGTTACAAAATGTGTGCTAAGATCTATATGAATGGTGATGGTTTTGGAAAGGGAACTCATTTATCTTTATTTTTTGTTGTCATGAAAGGTACAGACAATTTGCAAATCTCCTACTATTTTAACTATTAAAAATTGCTGAGTGTTTTGTTTGTGGGCTGAATTTCAACTTTTTTACATGTTATAACTGTGTCATGCCCGCGCCCATTGATTTGTATGGTACACATTCAACATTAAAATAGATGTTGCGTTTAAAGTTATCATGCAACTTGTATGAAATAGTCGGCAACTTTCGAATTATTATATAATCGAAGAGAAATTTTGTTCTTTATTTTACGTAGAAATATTATGATTTTATTTCTGGAGCTTTCATTACTTGATTATATTTAGCGCTCATCGTACAACTAGTCTTTTTGTTTCTTCTTAGGAAATCCCTTAGTTAAATAAAGATTTTGTTCTGGTGACAAATTAAAAATCGTTTAAAAAGAGCAAATAGCTACTATTGTGAACGGTCGAAATGATAACATAATAGTTCTTAAGAACTATTAGATTCCTTTAGAAATTTATTTCCTATTAGAATTCTTGTTTTTAGAATCTTAGTTCCTGTTAGAATTGTTGAGTTAGTGTTCTGGTTTTAAACAGTTCTTTTAAGAACTATTGTGTTATTATTTTGACCATTCACCATCGTATTTGCTCTTTTTAAAACGATTTTTGAATCCATTAGTATACGTGGTCCTTTGCATCAACCGAAATAAACTGTATAACAGATGTGTCTTTTGATTTGTGACCATTGAATTGAATACGGAAGGCTGGAAGGCTTCCTCCCGCAAATAAATTTGTAGCCATTGCATTTCAACTAGTGCCAGGCTTTTCACGCAAGGCCTAAAGAAAGTTCATTTACGACGATGAGCTAGAATGTGGGATTTGACCGCCAGGCACGTGCTCCTGAGGGTAAATTGTGGCTTCGTGCATTGTACAGGCATGCAAGGCAGCAGTCCAGTTGTGTATTTAGTTCAATATTTGTGACATGCACCAGATAAAGAATGACGTATGTTTACTGGGAATTCTTATAAAGATGTTCCTGTTTCTTTTTCAAAAAACAATTCAAAAATAAGTGGTTTGTCTTGTGACTGATTTTGCATCAATGGAAGTGATGAGATGTTATTGCATTTAAATCTTAAATCTAAATTACGGTTAGTAAAGCCGGAGTTACACGAGCGAGTTTTTCGATGCAATTTTTCAAAATTATCAAACAAAGGTAATGGCTACACATGCAAGACAATTTTTTTATCGACCATCATTTTGGTAATGTTTATTAATAAACATTAATTTCAATCTCGCGTCTCATTTGCCAATATCGGATTTGTTGCATTGTAGCTTTGTATGGCCTGATTCGACCTAGTGCACTAGGGTCAAATGAGGCTGTACACAGCTACAATGGTACGCTACTCTCGAAAATTGATAACTTCAAGAAGAAGAGACAGGACGCCATTAATGGTATAAAAACAGCCTTGTACAGTCCACCATTCTATAGTTCTCAATATGGTTACAAGATGTGTGCTAAGATCTATATGAATGGTGATGGTTTTGGAAAGGAAACTCGTTTATCTTTGTTCTTTCTTGTTTTGAACGGTACAGATATTAGGTCTCACGAAAGATTTTCAACGTTTGTTGATAATTTCAAAAAATTTCGTCAAAAAATTCGCTTGAGCTGGCAAACCACGACTTAAGATGAATGTCTAAGTTATCTTTTCTATAAGTCGTTTGTTTCAAATCCATTTCATAAGATTCCAGTTTCTTAAAATTATCTCGGTCAGTTGGTGTAGCTATTTTTTCTGTGATTATCGTTTGTTTCCATATAATTAGACGTCAAGCACTTTTACTTTTAAGTTTTTCAACTTTCAAAGAAATACGCTCAAGTTTTACAGATTGTACCGGCCTTTTAGCCTAGCTATTTGTTATAATGTAGGGATGATCTTGCTTTGCAGGCGCACAGGAGAAATTGTTCTTTAAAGTCATTGCTATTTTTTTTTAATTTTGTTGTGTGATGGTATATTTATCGTTAGACATTGCATATTTATTTGACGTAAAAAGTGTACATACGGGAATCGTGAAATTCTTGCTAAACATACTTTTAATGATCTATACATAATAATGCACACAAATGAAAGAGCCAATTGTTTACTCGTTCTTATATATCTTGACAATCTGTCCACCAAATGTATCTTTTTGATTCCTTTAGAAAAGAAAAAATCCATTTTTGCGTAGCATAAATCCTGGGTAATAATAGACAACTAGCTTCTATTGTTACTTAACCAATATAACTTACTTGGAGTGATTTATTATGTAAAAATGACATTGGTCTGCAATTTTTTTATCAATTTTTGTTTGTTTATTATTTTTTTAATGGTTCTGTAATTATTCCTAGGTGATTACGATGCACTACAATCATGGCCTTTCCAAAAGAAGATCACAATGATGTTAATGGATCAAGGAAATGGTGATCACATGATTGATGCTTTTCATTCAGATCCCCAAAGTTCCTCATTTCAGCGACCAAAGTCAGATATGAATATCGCTTCAGGATCACCTCTTTTCATGCCATTGGAAAGTTTAAAAAATCGTCAGTATATTAAAGATGATACACTTTTTCTTAAGATGATTATTGACTGAACAATTCCTAAAATCAAAAGCACGTTTCTTTTAAAATAGCTTTTTAACAAAATCAAAAAGTGTCATGCACTAGCTCTTGATATAAGCTTTGTAAATATGTATTATATATAAGTTTCTGATTAGTAGTTTTGAAGCAATCATGTTTGAAAAGAGGCTCATTTTATGCTAATTAATTAGTCGCCATCTTTGATAATTAGCATAATTAATGAGTGATCAAAAAAAAATTGTCAGATATTATTTCTCACATTCAGCACTTCCCAAAAATGTCGTTTTAAAGTGTCTACCTATAAAACTAAAAAAAATTGCTCTAAAGGGGGATGACCACTGTAAAAATAACTCGCTCAAACGGCAAGTTTTCCACCTCCGTGTATCGTAAACCCACTTTCACTGGTCTCTTCAGTCTTCACCAATTTTCATAGTTTCATTCTCATTCAATACAAACGCTCCTTAATCTCCTCTTTACTTCACAGAATTTTCAAACTCTGTTCCAGCTATGAACACTTTCATACTGAACTAGAAGTTGTTAGAAAATTATTCACCTTAAACAACTTCCCTTCATACATATTTGACAATCATGTTCACCGCTTCCTCAACAATACGTTTGAACCCAAAGATCTTATTCACACTGCTCCTAAGAAAATCATGTACTACTGCCTCCCTTTCACTGGTCTAAACTGTCTTCAGATTCGCACTCAAATCACTCGACTCTGCAATGCTGCCTTTCTCATATCAACGTTCGCTTTGTTTTTCGTTTTTCCAGGCGTCTCTCCTCTTTCTTGCCTTTTAAAGATAGGGTCCCCAAGCTCTTGAGATCCGGTGTTGAATACTCTTATAAGTGTCGATTCCTCTCAGCATCGTATGTGGGTAAAACCACGCGTCATTTACACACCAGAACATCGGAACACTTGGGAATCGCTCCCTTAACTGGGAAACCTTCCTTATGTCCACCACCATCTGCAATTCTTTCCCGTGTAAGAAATACATCTCACTCTGTCGATTTTAATGACTTCTCAATTCTCTCTTCCTCCTCCGACAATTATGACCTTATGATTCATGAAAGCCTTCTTATATCCAAGCTTAAACCCTCTCTTAACACCCAAGGCAACTCAATCCACCTTCACATTCTTTAATATACCTCCCTTTTCATTTAATTCCGTCATCTAAACTTCCTACTCCCCTCACATGTAAATTAACACCCTGTAATAAATACTTGTATTTAAAACCTCATTTATATAATTTATCTCAAATAATCTGAAGATGTCTTAAGTTAAAGACGAAACGTAATTATTAAAAAACCTTTTATCTTTCTTTATTTTATTATTGTGATGGCTTTTTTAAAAGTCTTGTGTTGGGCTATTATGTTCATATTGATGTTACTTTGTTTTGCCAGCTGATTCCCTTGATCATGCAACTCTCACAAGTCTTCCTATCAAAAAAACTATTTTTTTGCCTTTTTCATCTATGCATACAGATATACCCGAGAAGAGACTTTCATGTTCTTTCTCTAAGTAACGACACTTTCTCTACTTTATAGATCGTTTTCTTACTTTTCACTCTTTCCTAGTGAAACATAAAAGAAAACTTCATTATTTTTTCTCAATATGGCGGATACATGACGTCATGTGAAAACAATTAAAACAATTACATTTACAAAAAGGTGTTAAATTACTACTAAAGGAGGCGGTGTCAAATGGATATATGATAAGGAAGTTAGGAAGTAAAATAAAGAGAAATTAAAAGAGGTTAAGTGGAAATGAGTTTCCTTGCACATTAAGTGAAGGCTTGTATTTATTGATTAGAAGACTCATGAATGGAGAGTTCATAAGTATCGTTGGAAGAGGAGATTATTTTAAAGTCGTCTAAGTTGGGGGTGCGTTAATGTGAGCAAGAATGCTTGATAACGCAAGGTGGGAAACTCCTTCAAGAAGAAATAAACGGGAAACACGCTCGTATATGCGTCCTCTCAGCACAACTAACACAAGCACACTCCAACCTGGCGTTACTAATCTCCAAAATTGACTTTATACACCTTAAGAAAGTCTCCGATCGTGAAAATTCAAGAAAACTAACGCAACATCAACATATCCAAGATCGCAAACTTTTCCGTCTCACATCCAAAAATGACAACAACATCCCAATCGACCCTGAGAAAGTGGTGTTCTCAAACCGGCTCATTACTGACAGAGAGAAAGAAATCCTTTCAAAAGGCTTAAACTTTTCCATCCAACTGAAAAAGTTAAACATTTGCACCTTCTTAACACCCTTTGAAAAACGAAAAAAACCGTCTCAAACGAGAACATGTTAATGAATCATCAGGATTTTTTCCAGACTCGATCAAATGCAAATTGAAAGACATTGCCCACTCAGGTTTCCGAAGTTACAGCCCACCACCTTTTCTATATTCACAAGAAGACTTGAACATTTTAAATAATTTAAAAAACGACAGAACTATCTTCATCACTAAACCTGACAAAAGAAAATGGCATCGTAATACTTAACAAAGACGACTACATAAAGAAAATGGACACACTCTTATCTGACACTACAAAGTTTCAACCTCTTATTGGAGATCCAGTTAAAGTCACTTTACAACGAGAAAATCAAGTGAAGTCTTTATTAAAAAAGTTGAAAGATGCTAAATCTATCGGCCAAGAAACTTACAAAGAACTTTACCCCACTGGTTCACGAATAAGTATATTGTATGGTCTTCCTAAAATACATAAATGTAACATCCCTCTCAGACCCATTCGTTTCTCCATTAATCACTATTCGTATAAACTAACAAAGTTTTTCATCCCACTCCTAAAACCCTTCACTATAAGCAACCTCATCATCAAAGACTCTTTCTCCTTTGTTGAAGAAATCCTAAATTGCGATATCAACTCCAGTAATGTTGTCCTTGCTAGTTTTGATGTCGTATCCCTATTTACTAACATACCTGTTGACGAAATCATCCACATAATATCCAAAAGCATTTTTAACTACCACCAGTACTTCAACGGACTCACTGAAACAGAATTTGAAAAACTTCTCTCTCTAGCTGTCAAGAACTGTCACTTTATCTTTAACGGGAAAATGTACCAGCGAATTGATGGTATGGCTATGGGCAGTCCATTGGGCCCTCTCTTTGATGATATATTCATGTCCTTTCACGAAAAATCCTGGCTTAATAAATGTCTTTCTTCATTCAAACCACTACTTTACCGACACTACGTTGACGACTGTTTTTTACTTTTTTATTCCTCCGATCACGTCCCTCTCTTTCTTGACTATCTGAACCGACAACACCCTAACATCACATTCACAGCTGAAGTCGAACAAAACAGAAAGCTCTCATTTCTTGACATCGATATCTCTCGTACTAATGGAAAATTCACCACTTCCGTCTACCGCAAACCTACTTTCACTGGCCTCTTCACCAACTTCCACAGCTTCATCCCACTTACTTACAAACTTTCACTAGTCTCTTGCTTACTTCACTGCATCTTCAACCTTTGTTCTACTTACGAAAATTTTCATACACAACTCGAATTTACCAGAAAGTCACTCACCAAAAACGGTTTTTCTTCACGTATAATTGACCAAATCACACGTCGCTTCCTTAACACCACCTTTTGCCCCCAAACCACCTGTCTTGACTGCTCACAAAATGCCCATTTATTTCTGTCTTCCTTTCACCGGCATACACTCCCTTCAAATTCGCACACAAATCAATAGCCTTTGTGCTGCAGCCTTCCCAAACCTCTGAGATTTGGTGTAGTCTATTTATTCAAGTGTCGAAGCTGCAACGCCTCGTATGTGGGTCATCTACACACCAGATTTTCGGAACACTTTTGAATATCCCCCCTTACAGGCAACCAGAGAGCTTCCAGCCCATCACAAACTGTTCCTTGTTTACATTTGAAACGATGAGGAAAATCTAACGCTTCAGCCAGCAAAGGAATTTCGTGTTTCTTAAAACGAAAGTCTACAGCACATGTAACTTCATCGATTTCCTCCAAATCAAAAGATGAATAGTCGCCATGTTTTAATTCTGGGTTCTTTGAACGCGAAATATCATACAAAAGCGCAAATTCTTATTCGTTTATCAAAGCAGCGTCATACGCAACAGCTATAGCATTTCTTGTTTTTTTGAAGGAGGCCATTTTTTTGAAAGTATAGGTAGTGAACTCACAAGTTCGCGTTGTAAAGGAAATCCATGCGATGTCGCACCAGGCCATGCGCGCCAAGCTCGCGTCGTTGTAACGCGCGTCGTGAAATCTACTCTATTCTTGCTCACATTAACGCAACTCGACACACCCCCAACTTAGACAACTTTAAAATAATCTCCTCTTCCAACGATACTTATGAACTCTCCATTCATGAAAGTCTTCTAATCAATAAATACAAGCCTTCACTTAATGTGCAAGGAAACTCCATTCCACTTAACCTCTTTTAATTTCTCTTTATTTTACTTCCTAACTTCCTTATCATATATCCATTCGACACCGCTTCCTTTAGTAGTAATTTAACACCTTTTTGTAAATATAATATCTTGTCTTAACATCCTATTTATTATTTGTCTGAAGAAGTCTTGAGTAAAGACGAAACGTTACAATAAATTTAATTTTACAATTTGTTTTTTTTTGGTCTATTTCTATGCCTCTAATCAGAACTTTATGTTGGGCATTAATTTTTATTTCACGAGTTCGATTTCCGCTCGGCAAGTCTCTCGCTACTATTTGAAAACAATTACGTGTTAAGTATGCGTGGCTTGTGCGTGGCTTCTCGTCATCGTGCTTTGCTGTTGATGTATTTATAGTTTATATACTTGTATTCCAGATTGCTTTGGTAAGCATTTTTTGAACTTACAACGTTTAATTAAAAGTTTAGACACCACTTTTAAAGTGAATATCGTACATGATTTAAAGTAAGTGAAAATCATTGAATAAGAAACTCTTTGTCCGATTTTGCCTACGTGTAAGTGTAGTCAAGATATTGAAAAATATGCCATTTTTGTTGACCACTTCACGTTTCACTGTAACTGCAGCAGTAAAATAATATCGCAGTTCATTTAATAAATATTCCATAAGTACACATCAGCGTTATACTTATATCTAATTCGAACTTTTTCCATGTGCTACTGGTATGTTTCTTGTATAAAAGATATATTTCAGTATTTGCTCTCAGATATGTGTACATTGAGGGTTGTGGCTGGCCTTCATAATTGAAGTGGGGCATCTCCTGTTATTTATGGTATGAACCATGATCAATTTTGATGGAATAATTGATTACTTCTGATTGTTTTATCCTCTTAGCAGCTTTAATTTAGTGAAGACAAATTATAATTAATATAAATTTTGGCCATGCATAATTATTGCCGATTCCAACATAACCTGCTGTGTATACCATTCTTCACGTAATGGTTGATGGACAAGCATAATGAATACTTACATATATGAATATTGCCGTAATATTGTTTTGTCTTAGAGCTGCTTGATTTGTTTTGCTTCAATTTTCATTTTTGAAATTAAGCTGAATTAAGCTATTTGTTCAAAAATCAAGTATACTATATTGCTTCTTGCCAGTATTAAAGTGGCTTTGAAACATCAATATAAATGTATTTCCTCTTTAAAATATTTTACAAAAAACAAATGCTATTAGTAATATTGTAGTCCTAGAATGTTCTCTAAACAATATATGGTATTCTGACCAACAGTAAATCTTCCACTGTTTCATGGGAATGGTTTTTTGCTTGTATTGCTTATTACTAGGACTATAGTGTTCCTGCTATAGTATAACATACCTCTGAATTATTCTTAGAAAAAAGTTGACAAAAAAGAGACAATTCTCCAACAAAAAACAACTATGCAGCATAATTTTAGAAACCACCACCATATGTGGGCTACACATGTATAAGCATTGATGATAAGTATAATTACCAAAAAAGGTGGGAGTGGAATGTAAATTTGAATCACTAATGTGAGAAATATCCCTTATTTGTTGTCAGGTTTATAGCATGTGATGTATGCAAAGGAAATGTGTGAGAGTGTGAGTGTTTAATTATAGTGTTTTGTTGTTGTGCACGAATGTCAAAAAACACCAAGGTCCTAGAGACATGTTAGGCATTAAATGCAGAATGGAATAAAAGAAAAAAGGATAAAATGCGCACAAGGAGATGAGAAAATGGGAAGTATAGGCAAAAAAAGCACACAAATACTTTAAATAACTACTTTCACGCATTGTGTGGTGAAATTTTTCAGTTCTTGCATTGATTCGTCTTCGTATTTACGCAGACGAACTCGCAAATAAGTTCGTCTAATATGTTAGGGATATCCACCCGACACGTATTAGAAAATTCAAAACACTGTTTGTCAAGATGGGCGAAATTATTGATCATAGCTAGTTTAACTATAGGGGTATTAAATCACACAAATACGCTGGCTGTGACGTTATTCGAAAACTGGTCTACGATTTCGTTGGCCGAAACGAAGACAACTCAATGTAAATTTCACCCAAATTTGTGTGACTATAATAGATTTTTTAATGTGTTTTTTTTTCGGATATTTACGCATACTCCCATTTGACTGTTCTATTTTAGGTGTTTTATCCATCGTTTCCTTCCTCAGCTTTGCTTCGGTGGATAACATTGACCTTTGTCTGAATAATTCTTGATATCATGCTCAACCATTGAGCCGGAGGATATCAACCTCATTTTTACGCATACTCCCATTTGGTTATTCCATTTCAGGTGTTTTATCCATCGTTTTCCTTCGTCTCAATAATTCTTGATATCCGACCATTGAGCCGGTTATCAAACTCATTCAATAATTATTCAATAATTTTCAATTTCAAATTGAAAAATATAGAATACTTTCTATTCTCAGACTTCAATATATATATATTGTTGTGAAACTCTAAAGATTACTTGTCAACAGATAAAGATTTTCTCTAAGGTAAATGTTGAGTTCGATTCTTATGTTCGCAACATAGACTTCCAGTTACGTATAGATTACGCCATGGGTTACATTTACAAAGTGTTTAGCAGACTGAGATTTGCGTAAAGAGATTAAAGGAAGTTAAAGGAAGTTAAAGGAAGAGATATTCATTGCTCATGATAAAGTTATTTTACTCATAGTTGTGCTTTAACTTCTTAAACTGCTCTTTTTTGCTGTAATTCGATTTCAAGTGAAAAGTCCAGCGTTAGGAATAATAAATTACAAAAACTCATTGATTGGTCAAATTTGTTATAGTTGAAAACTCGTTGCCAATGGCATTGTTATAAAAGATTTTGAATAAAGAATGAACGGCTAATATTTTACTTAACCTTGAATTCGCTCCTCGCGCTATCGAAGTGATTTGTGTTACTCTGAGAAATCATTTACTCCTAAAGAAAAGGGTTTTGAACATGAGTAAAAGCATTACTAATGTCAGTTATTCGCACGAAAAGTCTGTTGATTTAATATTGTTGTTAATATGTAAAACAACGTACTCTAAAACAACGTCTCAAGAAGACTGTTAACTACAAAATGCATGTTCTAAATAATAGACTCTACTACATTTTCCATGTTCATACAAAGTTATAAGATGAATTGTTCTTTATAGATTGTTTAATTTGACGAATTTAATGCTCGATAAAAGTTAAGCGTTATCTGAAAGAAATAAGAAGAATCTACACGAACAGGAATTCTAAAATTTAGATACAATACGAGTCTCCATTTGAAATTTTAATCTCCATCGAATTGAAATTTCTGAAACAGTTTTGACGAATAACTGATATTATGATATTATATGACTAAACTGTTGAACATATTGCAAGCGTAGCAGTCTTTGGTAGCTAAAAGATATGCCATAAAAATAATGTCCTAATGATGTGTTGTGCTCGTTTTTTCTCAGAGTAAACAGATTTCTTATAGGTGCAGCACAAATCATTGGGAAATTTATTGCTATGGTGTAATTCGTAGAAGGTCTTTATTTCAATAAATTTTCTGTATGAAAGAAAGATGTTCTAACCTTTTGTAGGTTTTCTATTATGAAATCGTTGTAATAACACACCGCTAAAGCCAATCTTTTTCGAAATGTAGGCCATTCTTCGATCAATCTATAACAAATGCCTAGCATCTATTCTCTACATAAGTAAAATTATTGCATTTGCTATTCGCGTAGGTCCTTAATGTTTGTGTTTTCCATACGTAACAGCTGACATAGATTGCTCTATTACCAAGTTTGGGGTTTTCATGGTAGCTATTATAAATCCGATATGGCCGAACAAGAGAATGAAACATTATAGATTTTATTGCGAAATGAGCTTTAAAAGAGAAATAAACAGACAGTTTTTTGAGCATGTATTTGAGTGAAATTGCTGAAAAGTTTATGTAAATCACTAAAATGATTACTTACCACTGTTCTAGTGCTTTTTGTCAAATTGTCGTGTATATTTAGATCTTATTTTAATAGTTTTTTTTTATCAAATTTTAGATTCTATTTGTGAAAAGAATTACCCTCATTCAAGATGCCTGGGATCAAAATCCGTGATGTAGACAGGAAAAAAATCCCAGCGAAGTATATATGTACTTCCTGCCATTTCCTCCTCGTCAATCCAACACAGACAATGTGTGGACATTTGTTTTGTCAATCTTGTATCGACATTATACTTGGGTAAGATTATTTTCTATCAAAACTGTGAACTGGAAGCTCTGACTTATTAAAATCATGGATATCATTGGCAATGTTGCTTCTTATCCAATGTTGTATCACGTGTTTCAACCTTATCCTATCTTATCCTATCTTGTGGTGTCTTATATCTCATTATTGTACAACTATCTACTATGGTATCGATGAGGTCAGCAGCCTTGATATCTGTTATACCTTATTTTAACATGATAGGTACAACATCAAACTACTGTGTATATTTTAAAATACTATATTTAATGCGACGATTGAGTTCTAAAATACTATTCTTTAAAGTAAATGGTTTGAACCCGGGAGTATCGTTACATGTTTGTAAATGTAGATCGTCCAGGTTGGTATAGTCATGAGAAGGACAGTTTTTGTTGTTGTTGACTGACGTTTCGACAACCTTAGCGGTAGTCATCTTCAGAGTCAAATGAGGAGTTAACGTCAGGTTAGCCGTATTTGTTATCTGGTTCTTACGTCATTGTATTGTGTGTACAGAAAATTCTGAATTATACCAACCTGGACGATCTACATTTACAAACATGTATACTATTCTTTGTTTTACAAAGTGATGCATATCTATATTATGTATTGAGCATAATTGACGTTTTTCCTTTTCAAATAACACATCAACTTAAAAATGTTCTCACGAATCAGAGCTCGTGAAGATTTACTGGAGAAACTAGTCATTCATGTTGTGTTTGTTGTCAGTCAGTTACTTCAATTGCAAGCTGCTTTATCGACTTAACTTTGTTGAAATTCAACTCAAACTCGTAAGAGAAATTGTTATAAAGCATAAAAATATATAAATGAACTCTGTAATTCAAACATTATCGCCCGTATTCAAAAAGCTTGCTCATACTCACTCTCACTGAGTGCGATGTAAAACACTATTCCCATTCATCAATGACGAAATTATTTCTCCTTCGGTGGCAAGAATTTTGCTAAATTTTTTCCAATCAATAAAATAGTGAGGTAAAATACCGTGTTCAAACAATTATAAGCTAATTTTTAAGCTCCATACAGTAATTGTGAGTTAGGTTTTACAATACGGGCGTATGTTTACGTTCATCATAATTCCTAAGATTAAGCAGTTTACAGAAGATGATGTTTTGCGTGTCTCACCATGATATTTTCTTAACATTCAACATTTTTGCTACTACAGAATGTATAAAAAATTTAGAAACTTTAAAAACGTGTGAAAAATATCATTTTATCCAAATTTCTTCAAAATGTGTCAATGTATTTTGGCATCTAGTTTATGTACCAGTGAAATCAATCAAAGAAATTTAGGCATTTAAAATCTAATTTCATTCAAAGAGCTGAATCTAAAATTTAAGTACAATGCGCAACAGACTTCAAATTTTCACCTGTTCAAATCAAATTAGATTTTAAACATTTCATTTTCTTTGCGCAAATGGCTAAAATTGAGGCCTTTACAAACTGCTCTCCCTCTTTTTGAGATTAATTTTTCTGATTGTTTTTACTTTAATATAAACCAAACAATGCCAAAATACATAAACGCGGGAACATTTTTGAGAAATTTTGATGAAATGATAGTTTTCTCGATATTTAAGTTTTATAATTTTTTTGATGCACCTTGTAGTTTTAACATTCTTTTAATCTGTAGAAGTTCTGACCCAAAATGTCCCGAAGATCAAGAAAAATTGAGCAGAAATGATGTAGGTGGAAATATTCTAGAGTTTTTAAAGAAAACTTCCATACAGCTCTATCAAATGTTGATTGAGAAACTCCTGTAAAATATTCTTCCATTCTCAAAATATTCTTTATCTACCAATGTGAAATTATTACACCAATCTTTGAACTTCTATGAAACTTATATACAGGTTTTCCCTGATGCTTTTACAAAACGTGAGTTGAAAAGTATTCGTTTACATTGTCCTTCTGAACAATGTAAACGAATACTTTTCAACTCACGTTTGGCTCCTACGAAGAATTGGAAGTGAGTTGAATTGATAAATTTATTAAAAAAGTTTGGCATTTTTACTTATTAAGTTTCTTTTTTGTCAGGGTCATTATCAAGTTTGTGAGCATGCGCTCATCAGCTGTATACACAAACAATGTAACATTCAGCTACCTCGCTCTCTTCTTGATGAACATTTGAAGAATAAATGTGAATATCGAAGTGTAAAATGTGAATATTGTGGTAAAGATGTCCCGTATGCTTCACTTAAGGTACGAGGAATATTCTCACACGGATGAAAGGAATATTCTCACACGATGTTCATTGCATAACATTTATACCAATTAGTAAAATCGTTAGATTTTTTTCTATAAAAAAATCAATACAACTAAAGAGCGCTTTTCTCCTGTTTCAATATTTGTAAAATTGTGTGTCTTTAAACGTTTTTGCCTATTGTTACCAATCTTTGTAACTTTGAAGAAAAATTATAGTGAATTTTACTTTCTAAATTTTGTTTGCTTTATTTAACATGCAGGATCACCAAGAAAATGTGTGTGAAAATTATCCTGTGGTTTGTAAATATTGTAAGAAAAAGATACCAAGAAAAGATATTGAACAACATCAAAGTACAACTTGTGATGAGGTGCCGACTAAATGTGAATTTCAAGCTATTGGATGCAACTATGATAAAGTAAGAAGATATGAAGTGATTTATTATCTCATGTCAGCAATGAAATATTCAACTTTGAAACTGTTTCTAAACAAAATTTTCATCAAACACCCTTGACATGATTCTGTAGTTGTACTGTTGAATTACCAGTTAGCCTCCCTATGTTTGGTCGACCTCTCTATTTCTACTTAATTTATTCATACTTTGTAAATACTGTCATTGATATTCCTGCTTTGTATTATTATGTTATCATTCAGAAGATGTCGCGCGTTGCGACGAAACGTTAATAAAACTCTTTTCTTAAATTATTATTTTCATCAATAGCAGTTAATATTATTGCCATATTGCTCTTGTGTTCATTATAAGATTACGTTTCCTGCCTGGAAAATCTATCGCCACTGTCATAATGGGAATATTCCATTTCCCAGCTAGTAAAGCCTGTTTTCAATGAACAGACCAAACGTGCTTTTAACGTTTTAACGAATCAAACCTGTTTGACAGCTTTTATCGTGGAATGACATTTTATATTGCATAATTAGATTATATTTATATTAAAACAACAAATAATTGTAGCAAATATGTAATTTTGTTTGAGGAATATGTTAGTATCATCTTTGTCTTTCTTTCGCAGACTTTAAAACGAAAGGAGATCCGTCAACATATGAATGACAATCTAATTGATCACGTGAGCGCCTTGTTACGATATGTTATGGCATTTGTTACACAGTTAAGTAACTATGTACCACGTCCAGAGTTTACTACTGCTGTTCAAAACATGGGTGACCAAGTTACTGCTGTTCGTGCCAATCTTTCAGAAAAATTTGTGATGTTAGTGGGTAAACTTACAGGTCTTGAAAGGAGGATTGAGAGCATCGAGAGTCGTGGTGGTAACGATAGTAACCCTCAGTTGTCCTCAGACTTTTCGTCGATGCGTGATAGGATCTCGACTCTCGAACGGCAATTACGTGATAATTCCTCATTTATACTACGATTTCGTGAGCGCTTAGATCAAAATGACGAATCACTGGCGAGAAACACGGTTAAGATTACGGACCTTGAATCGCAACGTGGTTCGCGTACACTTGGGTCGAATCAGGCCATACACAGCTACAATGGTACGTTACTGTGGAAAATAGATAACTTCAATCGAAAGAGACAAGACGCCATTAATGGTATCAAAACAGCCTTGTACAGTCCACCATTCTATAGTTCTCAATATGGTTACAAGATGTGTGGTAAGATCTATATGAATGGTGATGGTTTTGGAAAGGGAACTCATTTATCTTTGTTCTTTGTTGTCATGAAAGGTACAGGCAATTTTTATTTATTTTTGCATTTGTTCTACTGCATTTACTATTTACCCCCTTAAAATTTACGGGCATTTGTGTGAGTGGGTTAAATTTCCACCTTTTTATTTGTTAAAACTGTGTCATGCGCATTTTTATTTGAAAATTTTATATTCATCGTTAAAATAGATGTTGCGTTTGATATTGCAGGAAAAGTTTAAGAAATAGTTGGCAATTTATTTTTTCGCGTATTTTATAATACTTATTTATTATTTTTTTTGTTTTTTAATTGTATTCAGTTTTGGTTCCTTATTTTGCTTATGAATATTACGATTTTTATTTCTTGAAGCTTTTATACCTGGAAGATATTGTGTGCTTAACATGCAACTAGGTTTTTTATTTATTTGGGAGGAATCCTTAAGTATTCCCGGGATTTCGTTTCGTGAACTTTATACGTGGTTCTTTGAATCAACGGAAGTTAATTGTACAACAGATTTGTGATTTGAAAATGAAAATGAATATGTTCCTGAAAATGAAAATGAAAATGTTCCTGTTTCTCTTTCTAAAAACAATTCAGAAATAAATGTGTGAATATCTTGTGATTTTAAGATTTTTTGCATCGGAGGAAGTAGTAAGTAGTAAGATGTGATGATTTTCCTTAAATCTAAATTACGGTTACTGAAGATGAATGTCGTTTGCTTCGACCTCTTTTCATAAAATTCCAGTTTCTTAAAATGATATTATAAGTTTCTTATAAATTCCATTCAATTGGTGTATTTTTTGTATGTTCATCATTTGTCTCAATTGTAATTGGACGTCAAGCACCTTCACTCTTAAGTATTTCGAGTTCCATAGGAATACGCTCGATTTTTTTCAGAATGCATCACCTCTTAGCCAAGCTCTTTGTTGATTGAAGGGGTGATCTTGATTTGCATGCGTATGTTTCTTCTTTAATTACGTTTTTTGGCTGTTTTATCTTGAACAACAGCTCAGGGATTTAAGTGCTTGTAGAGGACTGGAAAAATTGCTTATTACGGGAAATTTTTTAATTTGGGTTATTGCCAAGAGCGAAGGAAGATCGATGATTACGGGGGGGGTTAATATTCAGACATGCACGTTTTTTAATGCATTAAAAACAATGGATTTCAAAAGAACTTTACCCAGCGTATCATGCATATATAAATTTGAGCTCCACTTCCCAATTATCGATGTTCATCGCTATTTCTTGTATGTTGGTCGTAAGATAGCTTTGACGGTGAAAGAAAACAAATAAGAATACCTATAAATTTTTTACAAAACGTATATTGCGAATGATCTATAGATGCTGATGCGCACCAATAACTTAGTCAATCGTTGTAGTAAATCTTGACTGACAATCTGTCTACCACATTTTTTTTTATTCCTTTATCCATGTAGAAAATCTATATGTGGGTAGTATAACTCCTGGGCATAATTATGTAGAAAATCTATATGTGGGTAGTATAACTCCTGGGCATAATTAGACAACTATCTTCATGAGGATACTTATTCCATAAGATTACATGTTGTCCTTTTTCTACCTAAATTATAATTCATGTCACTTGGAGAAATACACTGAACTTTCTGTTTGTGTTCGAAAATGCCATCCGACTAAACTTTATTTACAAGGACAGTTTTTTTGTGAAAGTTTTGTTTGTTTATTATTTGTTTTAATGGTTCTGTTATTTTTCCCTAGGTGATTACGATGCACTACAAACATGGCCATTTCAAAAAAAGATGACAATAATGTTAATGGATGAATTAAATGGTGATCACATGTTTGATGCATTTCATTCAGATCCTCAAAGTTCCTCATTTCAGCGACCAAAGTCAGACATGAATATTGCTTCAAGATCACCTCTCTTCATGCCATTTGAAAGTTTAAAAAATCGTCAGTACGTAAAAGATGATACCCTCTGCATTAAGATGATTGTTGACTAAACAGTTTTGTTTATATTTGTTTGATAAATTTTTCTTCAAATTCGTTGATTGAGGCGTTTAGGATGAAATGGATTACCCAAAGTTTCTTCGGAATTGCGAAAAGCTCTTACACGACTAGCAAATTCGCTATATGGATGATAAGTGAAAATCTAGACCAATTCCAACACAAGCTCAGATAAAAGGATCAAAATCTGGGTGGATGATTAGTAAAATTTTAAGCCAATTGCAACGCGAGTTCAGATAAAAGGACCAAAATCTGGATGGACGATTAAAAATTATAGACCAATTACAACGCGAGCTGAGATAAAAGGACCAAAATCTGGATGGATGATCAGTGGAATTCCAAACATCTACATCGAGCTTAGATGGAGACTGGAGTCTAGTTGGATGGTTGGTGGAATTGCAGGATAAGTAATTTTCTGGAATTGCACTAACCATCCATCTAGTCTTTACTTATAGCAAGGAGCTCAGATGTATCGACCAAAGTGTAGATGATTAATTAATGGCAGCCAGAACATCATCAAGAAGTTCAGATGTAAGGACTAAAGCTCAGATAAATTTGTACAGCTAAAATTTATTGAAGCACGATCACTCCATTTTTACATGAAAAACGTCAGTTATACAGATTTATCACAATACAAAGGTACGTTTACACACAACAATTTGTCAGGCCGACACTGACGCCAGTATACGTGATTCTTGCCATATTTGGAAAATTTGTCGTGTACGGCAAATCGCTGGGTGTAAAAAATAATGAATCCGAATTATTTTCGTGATTTCGAAAGCCGAAAAAAAGCAAACAGGTCAAAGAACTACTTTTCATTGTAGCAACAATCAAGGCAATTTTTACTATTATTATCGCCTCAAAAAATAAAAAAAAAAGAAATTAAAGATCAGTGTAGGTGAAATGCAAATCGAGGTAAATTTGCCGTATTTCCTTTTCAGAAAATAATCTTGACTTTTTTCTTTTTTCTGAATCGCTGCAGCTTTTGGTTTTTGATGAAAACTACAACCCTCTCAACATTTTCCTATTCCGTGTTGACAGAAGACATTTCGATCATTATTTTTTGATAATCATAATTTGCTTGTTCCAGAAGCTATCGCAACACAGTAAAAATCGGGATCAAATCTGTAACTTGCTACAGATTTTCATCCGATTTTTAGAGTCGGACGACTTTCCAAATATGGCAAGAACACGTAATATGGCGTCAAAGTCGTCCCGACAAATCGTTGTGTGTAAATGTACCTTAAGAAAAAAGAAAAAAATTACACAAAGAACATACACTGTGCTCAACATTAGTTCATAAAAAAATTTGGGATGTTGGATTTCGTGTTGTAATATTAAGACATCAACTGCACAAACGATAACCTGAACTACAACCAGGGGGGGACTAGAAAGTTAATTGGGGGGGATAAATATTCATATATTTAGATCTTCTCTGTTGACTTCTTTTGAAATTGACATTGCAAACAAAAGAAATCAGCAGGGCAGAGCTGAGTATATGAATATTTACCCACCACCCCACCCCCCAATGAACGTTCTGGTTTAGCTCTTGACTACAACTCTTCATTCGTTCTGGTTTGGCTTTTGGATAGTTAGTTAGGTTATTTACGAGTAAGAGATCTTTGTTTATAATCTTTTCATGGGGTATTTAAAAAAATGGGAAATTTTTTAGCATAACATTTTTACAAAAATAGCTGTATAATAATATCCAATATTATAACTTTTCATAGATAGCATTAGGAAAATTTACATTGTTGGATCTTTATGTTGTTACAAACAAACTATTTTCGTACGTAGATAGATCAATGGGAAAACTTTACTTTAACAGTAGCAGTAGTAGTACTGAATGGGCTTTTCAGTGAACTATTACAAGTTTAAAAACTATTTTAAGAATCTAAAAATTTGTTCATTAAAAATTAACAAATTTGTTTTATGGATATTGCTGTCAATACTATAGATCCACAGATCAATAGCTCTAACTAAAAAGGATCGTTGACCTGTGGATGTTCTACAGAGTTGTTGTTTTATCTTGCCGGATGATTGAAATCACGTATTCTATTGATGTGTTTGCTCACACATGTTTGTTGTCCTGGAACAAAAATAGGACGGAGCTTCACCGTTTACATTTTTATAAGTCATGACAGCGTCATTTAATACCAACTTATCAGATACTGGAAGCCATTTCAGGGATTTCAACATTGAGGTTTATATGTTCAAATTTCTTCTTATTGTCCACAATTCTAGCAGCAAAATTCTGTACTTGTTGTAACTTAGCAACATTTCTCTTAGTTGTCTTTGACAACACAGTGGAACTAAAATATAATTTGCTGAAGACTAGTGTGTTGAGAATAGCTTCAATGTGGTCTTTATTGAACAAATGCCTAGCTCTGCATGGAGATCTGGCATAATGAGTAACTACATGTAGCACTTTACCACAATATTTATATGCTCATCAAAGGTAAGTTCTCGATCCAAAGTTACGCCAAGATCCTTTACTGATTTGGATGGTGTGAGAGACTCTCCCAGAAACTGAATAGACAGATCATCTGGCAGATTCTTTAGTTGTTGTCGCGTACCAAATATAATAAACTTTGTCCTTAGCACCCTTTGCGGATTTCCGAAAGGGGCGTACGAAATTAAAGCATACAGAAAAAAACTTTGAATCTATTTCAAAAATTACGAGCTTATTTCTCTAATCAATTTCAGTTATATTCTTAATTATTTAAAATTGTTTTTAATCGAGAAAAGCGATCATATACATTATGTCAGGGGTGGCCAACTTCTCCAGTCGGCGGGCCAGATTTAGAAAAAATGAAGTTATTGGTGGGTCGGATTATTACATGAATAATATTCAACATTCAATGGTCGGATACAGTCAGCGGGCCAGTCAAAATCCCTTCAGGGGCCGGACCCGGCCCGCGGGCCGTATCTTGCCCATCCCTGCATTATGTGATATCCTGTAAAAGTAGCGTTAGACCAAAATATTAATGTACAATAATTAACTTTAATTATATGATTTTAAATGTAAGATATCATGCGTCTGCTGTCTATTTTGGAACAATACGTGTATTTAACTACTTTTTTCTTCTTGTTTGCTACTGAAAATCTTGCACACGCTACTGATCGCATTGTGAAATTGGAGCAAAAACTTCATGATGGCTTTCAATTTTAAAAAAGAAAATATCCAAGTATGCCGTAGTTTACAGTTAAATGAAAACTGACATCCAAAAACTTTACAAAAAAAACTGACACTTCAAAATTTTACAGTTGAAAAAAAAATTGACTCTCACCTTAAAACTTTACAGTTAAATGAAAATTGACATCCGAAAAATTTACAAAGAAAAACGGACACTTCAAAACTTTGCAGTTGAAAAAAAAATTGACTCTTACCCTAAAACTTTACAGCTAATTGATAATTGACATCCAAAAACTTTATAAATAGGAAAAAAAACTGAACCCCAAAACTTTACCATTTGATGTAGACGGACTTGAAGTCTCAGGATACATATTTTCAGCAGTGTTCCTATTATACATTTTTTTTATGTTTTTACGTTTTTTTATTTTACGTTTTTTTTGTGACAAAGGATATATTAAATCTATTTAAGGGCATTTCAACTAAAGACGACAGAAGGCCGATAATAAGGTCGATGATAATTTTCTTTTATGAGATAGCAATAATGCGAAACAAAAATTTCAATCATAAACGTTGTAGTTTTTTGTGTAACATGTATTCGTGATTGATTACTTGATTTCGTTGATTGAGCTCAGAGCAGTTTGCAGGGCAAACGTGGTGCTAAAGACCAATCAGCGCACGCATTTTATTTTTGTATTTTAAAAGATATAATGATGTATAATCTGTAATCACAATTGATTTCAACAGAAATTAATAACATAAAGCATGTATATATGAATATGGCCCACTAAATTATCCATCGTTGTGTAAATTATCCATTTATCAATTATCAATTATGTCAATTATCCATCCTTATGTAAAGCAAAAAATTTGTAAATGTGTAATTTGATTTCAATCAAATATTTTCAAAGGACTTTTTGACGCAAATTTGGGCAGGAAAGTTTAAGAGGGGAGAGGGGGCAGGAAAGGGGCAATTTGCCTGGTTGCTTGCCAGAGGTCCCAGCTACACTTAAACTGTCCATGGGTGGTGGGGGAAAGGCCCAAAAGGTGATTGTGCTTCGTACACCCTAACTTTTAAATAGCTATTTTTTGGAATGTTTTTAGTTTTTGGGTTACAAAGGTAGTTTGGCGGCTTCTGCGGGTTTGCAGGCTACACATATGGCACACTTTGAATTCAATTGGAATGATAACTGAAGACAAAAAGTGAAGCCAGAAAAAATCTTTTGTCGCCATCATTTGTAATCTCTGTTGTAATTCCTGATTTTCAGTGGTTTTTTCTTCCATAAACGCTGTAAGTTACAACGAACTAAATGTAGTTAAGTTTTAGCTGTAAAAATGATCTTTGTCAAGAGTTCGCTGTTGTGTGCCGTTTGTCGTGGCGTTGTTCACAGGGACACCAGAACCCGAGGGGCTGAAGTCTCCCCCTTTTTGCAATAAATATATTTAGACTGAGCTGAAGTTGATTTTTAAAAGTGTTTTTCAAGACACTATAGTAGAATTAAAGACTTGGCCTCTTTATATGTTGCTCCGCCGTCCCTGGTTTATTGGTTTGTGCCAGTGAACTGTAATAACAACTGGAATGATCATCAGGGGGGAAATTGAAGCCAGAAGATGGCAGCCATGCAGGTCGCTCCAGTCCTTTTGTAAACTAAATGGAATTTTTATATTTATAAAATTTTAAAGGTAAATTTTGCGTTAATTTTTCTAAATTCTATTAAATTTGAAGAATAATGGTCAAATTTACAGATTGTTGGAAAAAATAGCCGAAAGTTATAATATTGCTGAAAAATTTGAAAGCAAAGTCCAAAATCAGAAAATGGCCGCGCGATATTTAGTTGCTTTTTCGGAGTTTTTGAAAGTTCC